CAAGAAATCCATTAAGGAATGCAGTTTTGACATCCATTTGCCAAATTTCATAATCACAAAATGCGGCAATTGCTAACATGATTCGGACAGACTTAAGCATCGCTATGGGTGAGAAGGTCTCATCGTAGTCAACTCCTTGAACTTGTCGAAAACCCTTCGTAACCAGTCGAGCTTTGTAGACAGTAATATTACCATCAGCGTCAGTCCTCTTCTTGAAGATCCATTTATTCTCTATGGCTTGCCGATCATCGGGCAAGTCAACCAAAGTCCATACTTTGTTCTTATACATGGATCCCATCTCAGATTTCATGGCCTCAAGCCATTTTGCGGAATCTTGGCTCATCATCACTTCCTCATAGTTCGTAGGTTCGTCATGGTCTAGTAACATGACTTCCAAAATAAAATTACCGTACCACTCTGGTGCGGAACGTACTCTGGTTGACCTATGAGGTTCGGTGGTAACTTGATCTAAAGTTTCATGATCATCATCATTAACTTCCTCACTAATTGGTGTAGGCATCACTGGAACTGATTTCTGCGATGAACTACTTTCCAATTCGAGAGAAGGTACAACTACCTTATCAAGTTCTACTTTCCTCCCACTCACTTCTTTCGAGAGAAACTCCTTCTCTAGAAAGGATCCATTTTTAGCAACAAATATCTTGCCTTCGGATCAATGATAGAAGGTGTACCCAACAATTTCTTTTGGGTATCCTATGAAGACACATTTCTCCGATTTGGGTTCGAGCTTATCAGGCTGAAGATTTTTCACATAAGCATCGCAATCCCAAACTTTAAGAAACGACGGGCCACAGTTCATATGGTGTCGTCTCAACGGATTTAGATGGTGTCCTATTTAACGTGAATGTAGCCGTCTCTAAAGCATAACCCCAAAATGATAGTGGTAAATCGGTAAGAGACATCATAGATCGCACCATATCTAATAAAGTACGGTTACGACGTTCGGACACACCATTACACTGTGGTGTTCTAGGTGACGTGAGTTGCCAAACTATTCCACCATTTTTCGGGGACCCTACAACACTTCTTTGGCACTATGCACGAAGGAATGTGGAAATTATATTTCGGGGAACGAGAGCAATGGCCGGACACCACCGAAGACGTTGGCCTTGACTGCAATCATCCGGACACTTCGGTAAGTATTCGGTATCCGAGCACCTTCCATTCAAGTATCTCTTAACAAGATATTGAACAATCCGTCCCTGTACAAGACTGGATAAAGAAAGCGGTGATGATCTGGTGTCCGTCGCCTCTTGCTGAAGGCCCTACGACCGACCTGCTGACGAGGATGCTGGTTCCGACACCATACCAGGTGGCCACGTTCGGGGAAACCGAAGTCCTTTTGCCCAAGGGCAAGAGTGCGGAGGGGGTCCTCCAAGGCAAGAAGAGGGCCGCCTCCAAAGACCAGGAGGGGAAACCTTCCAAGAGAGAAAAAATGCCGTCGTCGAGCGGCTTGGGCCGGGTGAGCGAGGCTGCCGTAGAGCTTGATGACGAGGACGAGCCTCGAGGCAGACCGTAAGCGAGGCTAGGGTACTTTGAACGCACCTCATTCTTTACCTATTAGTGAAGTAATCATCCGGTATATGTTCATCCACGCAGGTTAACGCCTGGTGCTTCTCAATCATCCTCTTCTTCGGGAGATCTTCTTCCGGAGATGATGGAGAGTGACACGCCTCCTCCGGCCGCATCACCCAACAGGGGAGATGATACCAAGGTATCGTCCCGACGGGCTCCTCCTGATCGCCAAGTAGTACAGGAAGCGAAGGAGGTGTTACCCGAAGGCGCTGCCGCCGTGGAGGCTCTTCGGGCGGAGCTAGTCCGTGCCAAGGAGCGGGTCCGGCTTAGTGATGCCACTGCTAAAGAGGCATCGGTTGAACTGAAGGCCAAACAAGTTGCGCGATGCCAGGGCGAGGAGAAGGTATCCACGATGACACTCGCTTTGGAGAACGCTGTTGACCGCTGCGAATTTCTTGAAAAGGAGAATAAAGCCTTAGCAGCCGAACTGGACAAGGCCCGGCAGGAGGCGAAAGAAGCGCGATCAGAGTCCAGAGCACTTCGTGGGGAAGTTTGGCAGGAGAAAGAGATAGTGGCTGGAAAGCCTTTTCTGCTGCAGACTAAGTTCGGCGACCCAAACTATGCTCAGCTGAACCAAGCGTGGAGTTCTCCGGACGAGTATTTGGACTTGCCGAAGAGTTCTTCCGATGCAGCGCGGTATTACCAAGCGCGAGCTGGAATGCAACGGAGAAGCTTTTTTGGTCACAGTTTGGTGCGTCTAAGCGCCCGCTGCTGCTTCATGAGCAGATGTCCCAATGAGCGCTGCCATGAAGGATGTTATAATCTGGCTGTAGCAAACCGAGCCTGCGCTGAGTAGTTATTTTGGTTTGGTGCAGAAGCTTGTTGATGTGGTGTCGCGAATCGATGCTGCGAAGCGATCGGCATGCATTGAAGGTGCACGGATGGCCCTTGCCCGAGTCAAGAAATTTTGGGGAAAGATGAAGGTCGTCGACGTTGCTACGAAGGGTCCGCCCGGGGGCAGGGACCGTTCGGAACCGGAGAGTTACTTTGAAAACGTCCTGGAGGCCGCCTGCTTGATAGAGGGTCAATGTTCGAAAAACATAATGTTCGAGTGAGGTGTATGATGATTGTAACAGATAACTTTATAGTTAATCTATTTGTGTTTTGCTCGAAATCTTGAATTCCTCATGTGCGGTTGTTTGAATATAATCTGAAAGTTTTCCAGTCGTCGGCTTTAGCCCCCTCGTAGGAAGTACGAGGGTGTTCGGCAAAGCATTTAATCACTATTTATCCAACGTCTTGGTCCGTGAAGGAGGTGATAATGCGGCGAACCAGGCAATCGGACTATAAGGCGTTAACACTTTCACTTAACCATAGGAGTTTTATGGTGGGGCTGCGACATAGCCCCTGGTGTGTATGCGGCGTGTGGTGCCTTGCATATCTGATCTGAAAAAGATCCTTCGTGTTACACGGAGAATCGCTAAGGATTCCAATAAGTCGTCAAGTGGTTGACCAGCTCTCGCCGCATCATGACAGTCAGTTTTCGGCTTTCTCTACTGAGGTGCTCATCCGGTCTAGGCTAGGGCACAATCACAGTATTTCTCCCTTTACTACCCTAACCGATAGGGTGGAACGTAGGGTAGCAAACACAGGAGCCGGGCAACCCAACTATTTACCCAAGACAATGATTCGGAGCTGATGCATATAAGGCCAAACTTGCGACACCGAGGTACGCTATAGAGCTGTTCGGACTTTTACTGGCAGCTCATTCGTTCCCATGCCGAGCCCCTGGCAGGGTATGCCGAGGTGTATCTGCAGAGTAGCTGTTAAGGCCGTACTTAAAAGAGTACTAGTGGTTGGTGCCCGCCATTGCGGGCCTCCTGAGTGTGTGTTTGTGGCGCACTTGCCTGGCTGAAGCACCTAATTGCGACTTCCGTGCGTCCATTTCACACAAATTCATAAACATTTGTTCTCCTATAACAATGAACTAATGATTGTTAGCCTCAATTTTTCTTGACAAGGACAAATAACCACCATCAGTTAGCACAACACCACAATATTTCTGCATTAGAGATCCTCAGATATCATAACCAAGCAACACAATCAATTCTACTGTCCCAAAGGTTTGCAAAGCAATGTTGTGGACACTAAAGGATTCAATTTTGCGCCATCTAAGCAGCAAGATGAGCATTAGCTAAACATCAAACTAATATTTAGAAGCCACTGACATGATCTTGAAATATCAACATGTAAATTCTAAAAATCAAATTAACAGTTAAGAATAGCTGCACAAAATGAAAATTATAGATTCTTACATGGATGATATATATTCTAACATCTAGTTAGCATAAGGATGAAAATCCATTTGTCCAATAAGTATTTCCAGACTATAATACGTCTAGATGCATCCATTTCTCCGACAAGTATTTCTGGACGGAGTGGGTATATTCTAACATCCAGTTAGGATAAGTTCTACAGCGAAAATATCCATCACAGGAGGTGGACACCCTTTTAGTTAGCAGCTTCTGTAAGTACTAATAATAGTGCTTCATGCAAATAGCTTAGTGCGGCATGCACATTTCTTGTACCATCTTCCAACATAGGAGAGTGCTGCAATCTGTAAGTTCCAAATGTTTGCATGGAGCTAGTCAGAAGTAGGCTTGATGCATGGGATGGTTAACAGAAAGGAAGAGATGTCACCTATTAGTGTGAAAGGGACTCATATAAAAAGCTCACCAACCAAAACCCTAATTTAGCTTTGCCTACCATGGCGGCAATTTCATACTCTTCTACAACTGGATATTATTATCTCATCACATATATCGGCATACACAAAGAAAGCTGCAGTCCTAGAATAAGGCTAGTATGGTGCAACCGAGATGCTATTGTTAAATGTGATTAGTTCGACAAGAAGGCATACCTGATGAATTAGAGGATACATGTGAACCAAACACACAGGGCATTCCAATAGTTCACGCACATTGGTAGAAACTATGACATTTGGTTTCCGTGAATGCTCAGTAACATCACCGACGAGTTCTGCGACATCTAACATCTCATTCTTTGGAGGGTCGATAAATTCAACGTCAATGTCGTCAAGATAGGCAGTTAACGGCACGACCAAACCTATAGATGCAGAATCATGTATGGATGATAAATATTTAGGCTTGGAAGTAAATGAGAAAGATTATCATCATTTTAAAAGACAGGAAACAAATGGCACAAGCAATCGGCCATTTCACCAAATATCCAGCCAAAGACAACCCTTCTTTATTATAGGATCCACACCATCTATAGACCACATAGGACCCATATGATAAATTGCTAAAATACATGTACCGTCATCTTGTTCAAAGATCTGAAGAGGAAAAATTTGCCGTGGGGGGCTTACCATGTAGCTGCAGGCTGGCGTTTCTTGGTGTGAAGGCGATGATTGTTGCAGATCTTGAGGGCCTTGGCCTGTTTCATGATGAGGCGGAACTTGGCAGTCTCCATGGGATTGAGCATTTTGATGGTAGTACAACCTCGCTTTCGTATGGACACAAGAAGAAGCCTAGATCAAAGCCAAGAATGATCAGATCGGGTCGGATCGAGTGAAGTAACAATGGCTTACATATGAAGGAGGACGTCCGCATCCTCTTCGCCGGTGGTGATGGCGACCTCCTCCATACCATTCCACAAAGTGATATGATACCATGTTGACAACACATATACAATTACTTCCAAATCTATTTCAGCCATCCACTTAAATACGATGTCAATAATGGTAACACCGCTCTGCTCCTAATCGCAAAGCAAAGATCAAACTACTGCAACCAAATAATCTCTTCTAACTATCAAACTCATTTCAAATGCCAAAGGATCTGGGCAGTGGGCCTTTTCTTTGTGAAGAACAACACTGAATCAATGAACAGACCACAATAAGGAAAAAAGAGGACCAAAAGAAAAAGGAAAGGAAGGCACAACCCAAACAGAGGCACCCAAACTCCTGAATGGAGGCATGCCGCTATTGCCTGGGTGCAATCCATACCTGGTGACAACACCAGCCGTTGATGCGTCTGACAAAGAGCCACCACATGCCACGACGCTCAAATCCACACAAGAACGGTGCATGTCCACTGACATCAGAGCCGGGAATAAAGTAGGCCCACCTGCAAACACCCATACCCAACACCCAATCAATATCTCGAAACAGAACGCCGGTGAGCATACAACAAACCGAAAAATAACGTGAGATGAGATGAGCCTGAAAATTATTGAGCTTGTGTATAAATACCAACTACAAACGCCTTATCCCAGCTTATAAGGAAATCATTTCATCAACCAAGTAGTACAAAAAACAAATACTCTGTAGAAGCTTCTAAGATTGGAACAGCTTTGCTGTGTTGTATAGCATTTGAACTGGATAATTTGGAACAACTCTTTCAGCTTCTATAATTTGGCCCTGCTAACAAATGATTTAATGGATAATTTGGAAGACTGGTGTATCAAATTTAAGAGTGGAACAAATTAAATTTTGTCAAGACCAGCACCAAAAGATAAATATGACATCGTGTACAGGTGTATCAAATTTAACAGTGGGACAAATTATTTTTTTCATAATGATGATACTATAGAATAATCATGACATGATATACATATTAGCATATGATGTCCACACAGGATAATCTCTTGAATTAAACATGGCAATGCTATACAACACAACAAAGAAATAGACTGGAAATCTGATCGGTCTACACAAATACAGTCCAAACTGGACCTATATAGGTAGCTTATATGTACATAGCACATCATTTTCAGAAGGCAGGTGGCACAAACTCTGTATTCTCATGACATCTCCAATAGTAAGACACCTTAATCTTTTATCCCCTATTTTAGGGAGCTTTATGTGTTAACCAAACTTTTGTTAGTACTAAATGCAGATATGAGATTGGTCTTCATGGATGATTGTAACTACGCTCTTATTTGTACTTTGTACTAAATCTAGATATAAAAAGGTTCCGCTGGATAATGCTCTTGCAATAACTTACATGTACCATTTGTAGAAAATCTGATATTTTGTAAGTTTAGGTGGTCACATGAATATTTGCTCCAGGAGAGTACTGTCAAGAAATTTGTGTTCCAGAAAAAAGGTAGTGATATTTTAACTACGCAATAATAAGATCAAATCTATAGATGGCAATATCAATGAATTATGACAATTTTCCTCTGTGGGTCTGCTATTAATAATGAACTGTGTAGAGGATACATCTGAATTGTACTGACAAGCAGTCCAAATAGTCCAAGTATTGCGATAAGCTCTACCCGATCGTTCTTCTTGATGTAGTATTCCTACATATTCAAGGAACATGCTTATGAGAATTTTGAGAAAATATAGTTGATAGTAGCAAGATGCATACTAGCCATTGTTTAGGCAAATGGCGGGAGGTCCATGAGAAGCCAGGTTCTACTTGATAAAATATTCCAACAACAAACAACTCAATGTAGACAAAACTGAAAATCAAATTTAGCGAAACCTACACCAAAACAGATAGATATAAATAATTGAAGAGAAGGTGGTTGCCCATCCTGCTGGACGGAGCTAAAATATATCAAACAAAGGAGATTACCTATACCTTCGGACTGCTTGTTGCTGCCATCAATGAACTATCTAGCAGCGCCGTCACCAAGGCCACATCGAGTCATTCGAAACGAAGATCCGGAAGCTAAATAATGTTTGTTCCTCCTAGCTTGTCCCAATTAAGAACACAAATCAAATAATCAAGAACGCAAAACAAATAATCATAACAAGAAATATTTATGGTGGGTATAAAAGGCTAGGTAAGAACAACCAAAGCTATATATACGCAAAATTGGGAATCAAGCAAAAGAGCTTGTGGTTGTTTTCTTGAGACAGAATCAAAAAAATGGTAGTACCTGCAGCACAACCGGGAGAGAAGAACAGAGAGAAATTTTACTTCCATCCAACAATAATTAATAGCATACCTATAAGCCTACAAATCTTTCATGCCAAATCGTACCTGAACGGAGCGAGCGCAGCTGAATGTGTTTAATGGAAGATCAGTTCGGATGAGACTTACTGAGAACAGAGCGATGTGCCAATGATAAATTTG